AAAATGTGATGCGATAGAACGAAGGCGCCATCAATTTGCAATCGTTTTTGCGTATGAAGCAAAATTAAATTAAAGTCGAGGAAGTATTAAGAACGCAGAATTTCTCGTAAACAATCGAATTACGTAATATTGAAAATCACGTGGTATAAAACATGCACAACATGTGTACTTATAAAAGAAGTTTACGCGGCAAATTTCGATAGAATATTTTACTAATAATTGAAAATATGCTAAAAAACTGAATAATCCTGAAAATATTATTCTTAACTATAAATGAAAAATTGTGTTCTTTTTTAGAAATAAATATAATGACTATCTATCGATTTAATGTGTATTGATGAAATGAAAAGAATGTTAACAATTCAAACAATGATTTAATTTATTCATTAATGTTTTTTTTTTCGAAAATTATTTAAAAATTGCTAAAAGCTAGTGAAGAATGTTGAATGCTTGAAGCAATTATTTTTTAATTTTAAAAATTAATGAAATTCGTCAAAATTTATTTGTTTCTATATCCAAAGTAATATTTATTATTTAAAAATTTTTATTTGAAATTGCCTATAATTGATTAACAATTTTGAAATCGAATCTTACATATTTTGATAAGTATTAAGAAATTTGTTGGGTTCTATTTAGAATTTAATGTTTTATGTCGCAAGAAATGTTTTTGAAATTAATACCATATCTTTCTTTTTTATGATTTCGTCTAAGTGAAAAATATAGTGTTACAATCAATTAGAAATTACGAATAAAAAATAAAGTATTACATTATTAATGATAACAAATCTAGAAATATTTCAAAATACTATTTTCTAAATATTTAAACATTATTTATAATTATACGAGCAAATCGTAATGAGATATGATAAATTCTAAAATACAATAATAAGTTGTATAATAATAAATTGCTATGATATATTCTTTTATACCTCTTTTTCAATTCGATGATTATATTTCTAGCTTTTCATATAAATTTTAATTGTGAAAATTAAACAATTTTAAAAATCAATATTTTTCAAAAAATTTTTAGATCTTTGATCTTATTTTCACAAAATAAAAATAAAGGGGATGAAATTAAAGGTGGGGATAAATTTCAGATGGTTTATCTAACTTTGATGCGACATACTCAAAAATTTATTTTCGAGTGATTTTTTAAATTTATTTCACAGATTTTCCTATATCTTTTCTTCTTAATATCTAACATAAAACATAAAAATATTTCATATTAATTATAAAAGAATTATAATCTTTTTTACTATCACAAAGTATAAGTTAAATATAAGATAAAATTAATAAAATCATTTGACGTTGTTACTGTAAAAAACAAAATTCTATAATTGTATCAACTCTGAATTAAATTTATATCGTTGATAACCTTACTATCAATGACGTCAATGTTCTTTCAAACTCCATTTCATTATCTTAAAAGTGATGTGAAATGAACAATATTCTACAACCATAATTACTGAAATAATTTGAACATTCAATTTCTATAACACTCAAATAACAATTTTAATTATACATTAAATTTAAATTTAAATTTCACCCAAGAAGATCTAAATACACGATCCTAAATTATATGAACCGAATATATAGTATGATCGAAAAAGAAGATGTGGAATTTTTATTTAAAATGAAACTAACAAATAGAGAATGTAAATGAAGATATATTATAAATAAATATTAAATTTTAAAAAGTTTAAGAATTATTTACAAATAATACCGGATTTTTTAAAATAATCAAAAATCTAAAATAAAGAATACAGAAAATATTGTGAATATACCAAGATAATTTATATTTGTTTTTTTTAAAACAATTTTTAAAATAATAAATCCTGATATTATCTATATATACATATATTCTTCCGTGTATAAATTGATGCGATGTATCAACATCGAAAAAAAAAAAAAAAAAAAAAAAGAAAAGACAAGTCAAAATCTTATAAGAAGTCCTCCACGTAACATTTTCGATCAATTAATCATTACAATAAATCTCAAATCTTTTTGAATTATTGTACTAAACAAAAGCACGTTGTTACGCGAAATGACTCAACTAACCACTTCAAGATAATAACAATTGCGTCGTAGTTTTTCACGATAAAGGAAATTCATTTCGATTAGTTCTATAAGTACGTCGAATCAATTTAGTCAAAGAATTTCAAAGATAGAAAGCATATTATAAAAAAATTGTTTAATTTTGTGCAGCTGGTGGCCTAATGGCAGGTTCCGTGGCTACCTTGGCGATCCTATGGGTCTCTCTACAAACCATGGGATTCCTTGGAAATACGCATACGATCGGTGCCTATAAATTGCCAATTTCCTTGCAGAACTATCTTGCCAGTTATACAGGTAAGTTATCCATTTTTCCTCCATTTTATATATTATATTATTGTTTTTTTCTTTTTTTTCTTGAAGAAAATTTTAATCGCGAATTGCAGTGTGTTTGATGATAAATTTTATCCTGGATTACTATCAATATTGAAGTTGATTGTTATAAATATTTTATTTTAGAGTTTACTTATTTATATATATGTTGTATTTTAAATGGTAATCCAGGATCAAATACATCATCCTTTGATAAAAATCAAATAAGTGTAAGTGAAAGTATTGTAGAAAAAGTAATGTAAATATATGCAATTGCTTAACATTGTTTGTTGTGAATTGTATTTGTAAAATATTATTGAAATTATAAATTAAAATTAGAGATATGTTTGATAATTTTGCAATATTCAATTAAATTTTATATTTTGTGGGAGAAATATGAATGTTTACTTTTTTAAATAAGAATTTTTAACTTTCAATTTATATTTAATATTTGGATGCTTTTTATCAATATCTATGATTTGTTTTCCTATAATTTTCTTATATTATCTACATCCATTTTATATATAGATTTATATAATTACAATTATCAAACATTCATTTCTAATTGATAATTATTTGAAATTTTTAATTATGAAATATCTAATATTTAATAATCATTTTATTTTTAAATGATATTTGAAATAAATAATGAACACAATTGTAACAAATACTGTTTTACAAATTGTGTTCGCATCTTTATTATCTTGCAATTTGGAATTCTATTAAACTATATAACAAAAATTTGTACTTGTAATTATACTTCAAAATACTTATAACGACAATAATTTAATTCTACATAATCCTATCTGAATACAAACATTAAAAATTAAGAATCGCTCGACTTATTTCAAAAATTTTCTAAAGAATACAATATTTTACCGATAAAAAAAAGATTCTTTCCACAACAATTTATCTCTTACACATTACAAATAATACACACACTTAGTCACAAACAATAATTATCCGTTATGTAAAACTTACGCAAAATTGGAGAAGATACATTATCTTACACGTAAACACAATTTAGAAACATTAACAGTTGCAAAGTTCTACAAGAAACAATAAAAAAAAAAAAAAAAAAAAAAAA